CCCCCTCCCGCACTCCTCAACTCTCCATCCTCTTCGCCTCCTGCCCGCCCCTCTCTCCCTAACTCGCGCCTTCCCTTTCCTTTTAACGTCCATGCTTGCTCGCTCTCTCACTCGCTCACCCTGTCTTATCCTGCTTGTTCCTACTTGAGTGCTTCTCCACCTGGCCCGTGTTTATGACCCATGTTCATGGACGCATGCGTCAAATGTCAAGCACCTCTCAGAGCCACGAGGCGCACCTACCGCCTCCTGCATTTTTCCTGGACCGACTTGGTTTTTATTTTTACTCACATTTCGGAACGCCGCACACAATTAATGACTAGCTGATGCGATTAAATCGCTGAACTAAAAGCTGTAAAGGTACTAAAGCTACTCAGCTGGGTCTGCCAGAGTTTCGTTAATGTACAAAGAAAGAAGTATCGAAATTGAAACGATGGCGAAGATATTTACAATGGCAAGTAGAATTTCAAAATATTCGCGCCTCCTTTCGTCGAGATCTCTACTCGACAGAAGCCGTTCTTCGTTCATTTGTTTTTGACCAACATGGCGGCCGTGTTGTTGTTGTTGTTATTGTTATGTTTCTGTACGTGCTTTTACGTGCAAATGACTTAATATGTGTGACATGAAGAAGTATTCGTAATTGAAAGGAATATGGTGACTTTCGACAATGAATAGCTCTTTAATCTCTTTTAGTCTTGTTGACTGCCTCTAAAAGGTTTGTTTAGCCAAAGGTCTGACCTGGTATCTAATAACCGGTGTTATTGCTTTAAACAGGGTTAGGTGGACTCAGGACTTATACTTTTACCCTTTATCTCCTTATTTCTAATTAGTCTTCGAATTGTTTTACATTATGACCAAGATTATACCAAAACCAGTCCTGCTAACAAGATGCAACTTTTTTTTATAGAATTGTAACCAATAAAATTTTTAATATTTTCTTTCAGATATATTCTACCTTATCAGGGCAACATGGGTAGTTTAGAAGCAGGAGGTGGTCCGATGCGAACGGACAACTCCATATGCCGTCGGTTTACAAATATCAGAGTGTCACGGATAGTATTTTTGTTGTGTTTCTTGCTGCTCTTACTTCCTTTAATTACACATTACTATTTATCAAAAGTATGTATGCAAATATCTCTCTAATATTTAGAATGCAGGTTTTCCAACCCATCTTAAATAATGACTATTAAACATTTTCTAGGTTGAAAGTGGGAATCAGAACAATGATCCAAATAGAGTTCGTTTTAAATTAGAATCTTTAGAGGACCTTAGTGCTTTGAAAGCTTCAGACCTGCGTCTCAGAATACAAGAAATGGAACGAATCAAAGGTAATGTTTTACTTGGATGATAAAATGTTCTTTAAGCAAGCTAATTAGTATGTGTATTGTTAATATATCAAAAAATTGCTCTAGGTTCTGTGTCTGCTGAACTACGTGACCTAGAAGCTAAGCGTCAGGGCCTCCAGCAAGAAATATCATCGCTCACTAGTCACATTGAGGAACTAAAAGTGGAGCTTGCTAGACAGAAAACTGAATTAGAGCGTGTTAAAATGTCAGTTGTTCAGGTAAAGTTTCAAATATTTCTTGCAGACCAAGATTTTTTCAAATTTATGTACTTGATCATAAAAAACATTTTGCATTAAAACATAGGCACAGGTGGCACAAAGAGAAGCAGAACAAAGGAATGCGCCACAATTAAGCTTACCTGGAAGACTTTATCCCAGTGAACCATTACCAGTGCTTGAACATTCACCTTCTGCAATAGCCTCTCACATTCACTGCCGGCAGTATAATTGCTTTGACTATTCTCGCTGTTCTATAACTTCAGGTAAGTTGGCTTTTGGTGACTAGAAAACTTCTGTTTCAAAACAGCCCTGCACCTATTTAACTTAACTTTTCTTAGGGATGCCTGTTTACATGTATGGGGAGGCCTTGGGAGAGTTGAGCTCTTTTCTTCATACCTCATTACAACGAACTTCAAGTTTTAATCCACACTTCACCACTGACCCTAAAGTTGCCTGTCTATTTTTTGTTCCAATTGGTAAGATAGATTTACTTACTGTGTCTTGATGACCCGTAAACTTACATATTTACATGTACTCCTTTAAATTTCAGGACATGATGCTGATTTGAGTAAGCTATCGCTTCTGCCACATTGGGGAGGAGATGGACGTAATCATGTATTATTCCACCTTTCCCGCGAGAGGTTGCAGCCATCTGCTGCTTTAGAAGTTTCAGAGCTTACAGGACGTGCCATCATTGTGCAATCTACATTCATTCAAAAATCTCTTCGACCTGGATTTGATGTGGTGATTTTCCCTGCCTTGGGACCACCTGGAGGAGATGTTTGGCAAGATTGTGCTCCAATGCTCCCTGCTAGACGAGAGTTTTTGATTACTTTCCAGGTTTGTTTGGACTTTGAAAAATCCATTATGAAGCTATCTATCTGTTTTTAATCAACATTCTTTCAAAATGTTGTGCACAGGGTGAATTGTGGACTTCAAATGGACCAGGGGAAGCATTGGAATGGGCTTTGAACCAGCTTAGGCAAATGGCAGCAGGGACAACATCTGATCGTTTCCAGCTTGAAGTAAGTCTAGTAAATGTTATTTTGCTAATTAATAATTTTTCAATATATAAGCATTTGTTTGTTCTTATTTTCTAGTTTTCATGCCAACCAGCTACAGAAAGGGAGGACCTTTGGGCAGATTGGTCAATGTGTGGGACAGAGGCATCTCGGCAATCTGTTTTGAGACAGTCCACTTTTGCATTACTGCTGGCCCCTGCAAATGCATCTCTTGTTACTACAGCCACTCTTCAAGCTAGGCTTTGGGAGGCTTTAAGAGATGGAGCAATCCCTGTGATACTTGGTGGAGACAGTTTACACCTCCCCTACAGGTAAAAACCAAATCTCAATCCTCTATTCTATTAATTAATTTTTATTGTCCTAACTCAAGCAACAGACTTTTCATGTACCATTTCATTTTCCAGTGAAGTTATAGTTTGGCGCCGGGCTGCTCTAATTCTTCCTTTGTCACGAGCATCTGAATTACATTTTCTGCTAAGATCTGTGAGTGATAGTGACTTATTGGCTATGCGACGGCAAGGACGACATATTTGGCAGACATATGGTGCTTCTCTGCAGAGCATACTGGATACCAGTTTGGCTGTAATAAGAGACCGAATTGGTATCCCGCCACCACCAGTAGATGATGCTCCATCACCCTCCGTGTTTAATTCTACATTTTCTGTATGTTTTTCACAAATCCTCACAGTTTTAAGACTACTCGTGCTTTTGTATTAAAAAGAAAAACACTTATGAAACCATTTTTTTCGTTTCAGCCGTTGAAGACTGATGCACTTGTTGCTGATTCAGAGGCAGAAGAAAGTCTTGGACCTTTGGAACCGCCACATGCATCGCCTGCTTATCGCAGGAATTACACTGTCTTTTTAACTCAGGTGAGTTATATTACATGACTCAGTAAATGCTAAAGATTTATTTATTTTACCTATAATTGTTTTTATTTATTTATTTATTGAATGTTTGTAGGGTTTTGAAATGTGGAATGATTGGGGTGATCCTTTCCACTTGTATCCTCAGCTTCCTTTCGATCCATTATTACCATCTGATGCTAAGTTTATGGGTAAGAGGATTACGTTATAGACCTTTTAAATTTTACAATACCTAGTATCAATTTCACCACTAACTAGTTTTGATCTTTGCAGGATCTGGTGTTGGTTTTCGACCAATAGGAAAAGGTTCTGGAGGCGCGGGAAAAGAGTTTTGTGAGAGTTTGGGAGGAAACAGCCCTAGAGAGCAGTTTACCATAGTGATGCTGACATATGAACGTGAACAGGTAGAATAACATAGTTAGATATTAGTAATATTGTCAATTATACAGATTTCTAGTTTGTTTTAAAAGTCTTTATACCTTTAACAGGTTCTCATGAACTCCTTAAGTCGTCTGCATGGACTTCCATACTTAAACAAGGTTGTTGTCGTCTGGAATTCTCCTCGCGCTCCTTTAGAGGACCTGAGGTGGCCGGAAATAGGTGTGCCTGTTCATGTAAGTGAAAGATATGAAGTACTTTACTGAAAGATTCGATCTTACCAAGCCTTTCCTTTGACTCCTCTCTTATCAATCACAGGTGGTTAAGGCACCAAGAAATTCACTGAATAATCGTTTCTTGCCCTATGACGAAATTGAAACAGAGGCTGTCCTTTCTGTTGATGATGATGCTCATTTACGTCATGATGAAATCATGTTTGGATTCAGGTAAGTTTATTAAGAATTAAAGTACACAATGATATTCATTTATGGTTACTGTTGTATACTAAACAAAAACCTTTCTTTCTAAAATGTTGTAAGGGTGTGGAGAGAGCACCGTGACCGGGTTGTAGGTTTCCCGGGCAGATTCCATGCCTGGGATTTAAATCATGGTGGTTGGTTGTACAATTCCAATTACTCTTGTGAACTATCTATGGTGCTCACAGGTACACCTCTTAATGTGGAAAACTTTCACATTTTGATGAAAAAATTATCTCAAATCTAAATTTGTTTTCTGTGTTCTTTTACCAGGGGCTGCCTTTGTTCACAAACATTATCTTTATCTTTATAGTAACTGGTTACCACAAGCTATTAGAGATAAAGTGGATCAATACATGAACTGTGAAGATTTAGCTATGAATTTCTTAGTCTCACATATCACCAAGAAACCTCCAGTAAAGGTATTGCTAGGAGCAGATTTCTAATACATAGAACTAAAAGTGCAGCGCCTTTTCTTCAGAAAATCTATATTTTAAAAATTATTCTTCCCAGGTAACATCAAGATGGACATTTCGGTGCCCTGGCTGTCCTGTTTCCTTATCAGAGGATGATACACATTTTCAAGAGAGACATAAGTGTATCAACTTCTTCTCCCAGGTATTAAATTTGGTCATTTATTTTACCAAGAATGCTTAAGTATGATTGCACCTTCATTGACATTTTTTTTTCCTTCAGGTTTTTGGGTACACACCTTTGTTAAATACGCAATACAGAGCTGATTCTATTCTATTCAAGACAAGGATTCCTCATGATAAACAGAAGTGCTTTAAGTTTATATAGTTTTACCAAAATATTAGGTACAGTACATACTAAGTTTTAATTTTAATCATGGATCCTAAATGCCTTACCTGGTAGTACATGTTGAGCTGGCTCAAGGATAAAGTCATTTTTCCAGTCAGGTTCTTTTACTGTTTTCTTTTTTTTATTATCTTTGAGTTGATATAAGCTGATTACTTTCCTACCCTACTTACTGTACAAAACTAATTGTACATCCTAGTAATTACTTATTTCTCGATGGTTATACGTGATTTTTACAATTTAATATGTTAGAAAATCTTTTTCTACTTAAAATGGTTTTGTTGTAAAAACCTTGCCATCTTTTAATTTTAATCTTATTTATTTGGATGTTGTTTCATGTTGCTGCTCAATTTAATCCACACATTCTTGCCTACTGGATTTTTAAATTTTTTTTTCCAAATGAACGTTGGATAACATACCTTCCTTGTACGCGCCAGCATTCACTAGAAGCAATATATGTGACTGAAACATAGATTCTAAGGATTGTAGGTAATTAGTTACACACTATATTTTCGTTGTGTAAGTATTTCAGTGCCATTATACTGGATCATTCTCTCAGACTAGATAGCTTTTTAAAAGAAATGCATATAGGTATGTTAGGACTGTAATACAAATTGCTTGATATTGCTTCTAATGCTACCCGGTAAAGTGGGAAAAAATCTTAATCTGCACATTTAACATCAGATTACTCCATAGAAATGTTCTTTTTGGCAGACCACGAATTTAGTGCCATTTTTATAAAACCTTAGTAATATCTGTGATATTTTTCATCAAAGCCTGAGCACTTATTGCCAACTAATCTGTTGTATTAGATTTTAGCTCAGTTCTTTGGGTTTTAAAAAGTACTTGATTTTAATTGAAAACATTTTAAATGTATTTTTGACAACACTACAAAAGAAGAAAATTGAGAGTGTATTTTGAAGTAGATGTTACTTAAAATATTTATGTCCTAGGTTTAAGTATGTACTTGAAACATTTTTGACAATGTGCTTAATTTATTTTAGTGACAAGGAGACAGCAGATCTTCTGTTTTTCACAATCTTAATGTAATTTATTTGAAGTTAGTTAGTCAACACATCTGTTGTAAGCACTATTCCATGACCATAGTATTGCTAGTGATAAGTAATATGGCTAGTCAAACATGTTAAATAAGGGAGTGTTTAAAGCAGCTAAGTGTAATGAAATACAGCACTGATCAGATTTAAAGAAGTTCAATAATTTTCCTTTGTGAAATACGAATAATTCCATGCGAGTACAATTCAGACAAGCAAACATTTCAGTGTTGGCAGTTTGAAAGTTGAGCCAGTGGGATAGCGCGGGCTTGTCAACTGGTTTCATGGGTCATCAACTGTTCAACTCATATTAGTTAACAGCGTCCCACATGTTGTGCTGTAGTGCGTCACACCACGGCCTGACATTAGCCAGCGAAGAGGGCTTCCCACCCGTTTCCACCTCAAATTAGAATACTCCCACCATTCTTCCCAGAAAAAGGACATCATGATACTCGGTGCGTCATCAAAGTCCTCGTGAACGTTGGCAGCCTCCACCCCCGCCCC